GCAGCGGGGTGGGCACAGAGCTCCGAGGACAGGGAGCAGAGAAGCCACCCGGAGCTCTCAGACAGGGCGGTTGCAGGCTGCGCCCTCCTGCCTTTCCACCCCCAATCTGCAGCCTTGCGAGACCCCATCCGTGCTCCTCCAGCGCCGGTGGGTACTTCGGGGAGCCTCCCAGCGCCTCCAGTTTACCTCCAGTCCGCCAGCGGCTGGGTGCCGGCCATGGAGTCCGGGATGACGGTGGCGTGCTGGACAGAAGTGTGGGTGGCCACGCCGGTCAGCTGCTGCCAGGCGGGAGGGAGCAGGATCTGCTGGGTGCCGCTGGGCCACGCTTGCTGCCGGACAGAGGGAAAACGGTCGCTTGCCAAGGGGCACCACACACCGAGCATCAGCGGTGGCCCACGCTCAGCTGGGGCTCCTCATAACCATCGCGGTCGTCCTACCTAGCTCTTACCGCTTTTCAGTCACAGCTGACAAATACTTTTAGGAAACCACAGTAAAAGGAGTAAAAGTTGCCCATACAGAGAGCGCAAAGGAGGGGGAAAAAAATCCCTGCTGTCCAAAGCAGCAGCTGTGTTAAACTGGGAACGGGAGGGATCGAAACTGGTCAGCATTTTGACCCAAATATCAAACTGTTTAGCACCTTTTAATTTTGACTCTCCAGACCAGCTGGGCACTACGGTCCCATTGTTATCTTCCCCCTCCAAGCGCCAATTTTCCTTCCCGCCCGAACAGAACCTAAAGGACTTCAGGAAACTAACGGAACTAAGGAGAATGAACTCTTCAAGGGTCAGGAATGAGAACAGGGGGCTGCAGGACTTTTGCAAGAAGGAAGGAAAAAAATGCGAATTTGGGGATGCCAAACAGGAATGCACAGCGGTCACCAAGTGCTCCCAAGGAGCATCTCGCTGCACCAGCCAAGGAGCCCTGTTGCCTGCTTCCAGCTCACCGGGAGCCCCCCGGCCGCAGCAAAGCAGAGCCAGTCACGGCTACACATCGCATGCCTGTCCTCCTCATCTGCTCTCTGGCTTTTTCTGAGTAGGTGCCTCCCTTGCAGGGGTGGAAATCTCTGCCTTGTGAGTTGAGCCATCGCTCTGCTACGCAACCATCCCTCCAGCTGCGCTGCCACAGGCATGGCTCAGGTCGTCGTGCTCCGGTGAGCCCACAGGCGAGTCAGACAATGAGTTTTTTGACTTGGGAAACTTTCTTTGATATGTGCTGCCTGAAGGCTCCAGCAGCTTCTCACTGCCTGGGCTGGGGAGCACAGGGGTGCCAGCTACGGCCCTCCTTACCCCCAACTGGCACCTCTATATTGGACCTGTGTTGTGTTACCTCATGGCTCTAAGGAGGATGAATTTTAAAGAGGAGAGCCTTCTTCCAGGTAGGCATTTGTCTCCATCTCCATCCTCACAAGAATTCTATTAACCGTCCCCATAATCCCCTCCTATCCCCAAGTAAACAAAACAAAAAACCACCACCACCACCCCCCAAAAACCACCTTTTCCCTCTTCTGCTCCAAAGTTTGACTGCCTTGTAATTTTCCACGCTGCTGAGTCAGATGAAAAGGCTGCTGCTGTGAGGCCTCTCAGCAACATCTGCTGATGGACAGTCAGCAGGCTCCTGAGAGCTCTTCATCTAAGGAGCCACAGCCACGGACTGACACTGCTTGGAGCAGGTAGGAGGAGGCGGCAAAGATGCAAAAAGATAAGGGCAGGAAAAAGCTTTTTTTCCTCCCCCCCTTTTTTTTTTCCCAGCTTTGATTTAAAAGAGGAGACTAAACTACCACTGCAGTCAGTCCCAGGGGACTACCTGGATTTACTTGCAGAGAAAACTGCTTCCTCCTTTTTCAGGAGGAGAACTGAAGCTCCTTTCCCAACTGCAGTGCATAAATTTAGATGCAATGTCAGGGTCCAGGCACAAATTCCTCACTTATTAGGTAAGGACCACTGAATCATTTAATCTGCAGATAAGACTTGTCTAGGCTGATCCAGTAGCACAGCGGGCTGTGCTCACACGCGGGAGGCTGCTGCCAGCAGCCGCAGCCTGTTCTCAGTTATTGCCTTAGTGCGAAATTGTGCCTCCGCAGCGGAGCGCCGGGAGGTGGTGGGTCCCCCGGTGCGACGGAGCTCCCGCTTCAGACGCGGAGCAAGAGCAGCTAATGGAATAAGCGTGTCTGTTCTGAAAGCCGGTGGCAGGACCTCCGTGGGAAGAGATGTTGTTGGGAAGGAGTTAAAAGGAGAGAAAAATCGGGAATTCAGGGCGTTGTTCAAGGACAGGGGACAGTTCTGGGTCACGTCGTGGACGTCTGCCAGAAAACTGTACAGCTTGGTCTCTTTTCAGATCTGAAGCTGCGAAGAGCTATTAGTAAAGACAAGATCGGTCTCCTTTCACCAGTCTCTGCATACAGCATGTGGACACGTGCTTGAGAGGGTGAAAACAGACCCAGAGAACTCACAAAGAAGTTACTTTCACTACCGGCTCTGCATCTTTCAGGCTGCTGGCTTTGTCTGGCTCCACACCACAGGCTGCAGACACGCAGCTCCTGGAGACGATGCTCAAAATCTGTCACTGCCTCTTCCCGGAGTCCCTCCGGCTCCCAGAGCTCCTTGCTCTGTCCCATCCCCGGGACTGCTGGTGTCATACACCACACACAGGGAGAGCTGGACGCCAGCTGTGCTGGGACGTGGTCAGGCTCCTCCTGATGTGGGCAAGCACAGCGACCCGTGCCTCACGCCGAGAAAGCCTGATGGCACCACACGGTGCTGGGAGCACAAGGAGTGGCATCATGCCTGATCAGGTGAGGCAAATCAGGTGGGTAGAAGGGCAGAAGCGGGCTCTGGAGGCGCTACGCTCTCTGCCAGGGACAGTCCCTCTACTAGTGGGAGCAATCTCATAGTCTGGTCTGAAGAGCATGAGATAAGCAGCTGTGCATGACAGCAACAGCTCTCTGCTGAAAGGGAGACACACAGCCGCTCGGAGATCAGATGTGACCACAATGCAGTACAAAGAAGCTGTGTTTTTCCATTCAGGAAACTGGAATCGGGCACAGATCTGTTGCTCAGATGAGCTGCTCGGCCCGAATTGAGCGAGGCCGGCGGACACCAGATGCCACCGTCATCAGAGCGCCTCGCCATCAGAGCGGCAGCTCGCTTTTCTCATCGCGTGAGACAGATACATCAACAGGCAGACTGCCTCTCCTTTATTAAATCAAAAATTAAAAATCTATGCAATGAGGAGTGTTTCTCAGAAACAGCTTCAACCCTCTCGTGGAAGTGACAGTGAATAAAACGTCAGTAGAAAGTACGAGAGGCGCAGCCCATAAAATGGGAGTTCACGTAGCAGGGGCAGCACAGAAACTGGTAGCAACGGTTCTCCTGACCACTCCCTCCCTCCCACAGACTGCGTGGTGACCCCAACAAGGCCACCTCAAGAAGAAAGAAGGGACTGGAGGTCTCAAAGTCTTTCAGGATCCTGCTGCCTTTGGGATGCTTCAGACCAGACCCTCACCCCGTCCAGCCCCAGGTGACAGCCCACCTCAGGAGGCCTGGCAGAACGGCATGGGTGTGCAAAGCTCTATCACCTTCACCCACTGCCTTGGCTGGCTTCTTGCACAAGCAATGGGTGCTGGCAACCGTGCCTGCACAGCCTGCTTCTGGCTTTGCCACTGCTCCCATTGGCCCTGCCTCTCGGGGTCTCCTTTCCTATCAAACAAGGGAGGTGGCCCAAGACAGGCTGCAGCAGAGAGGTTCGATGTTTCAGAGAGCCCTCTGACAAAGACCCTGCCACTGGGAAGGGGCAGGGCACATTAGCTAATGGAAATCACGCAGGCTGCAAGTTGTGCTTCGATCCGTCTTCTCCAGGTAAGTGTTGCTGGCAGCTGGTAAAGGATGGCACTTGCACCGACAGCCTGACCCCAGCAGCGCACCGCACGGGCTAAACCCTGAAGTCTGCTGGTACCCGACCGCGTACGACTGCGCCGGAATTAATGAAGGCACGGCAGACCAACCGATCCCGAGTCAGAGGCGTGCATCTTCGACCTGTAGGTCACCCTTCCCAGGCTACACAGCCTCATGCCTCATACCAACTACACTAGGCACTTTTTCTTTTTCTTCTGCCAGGAACATGCCTGATATCTGCGGAGGTACCACGGCACCAGCTGCCAGCCAACCGGGGCAGATGCTCTGAAGCCAGCACAAGAAGGAACGAACTGTTCCCCCTTTTCAAGGAGATGGGGTTCCCCTTGAGAAGGTGCACGTGGGTGGTGGTACCTGTTCCCATTTGGGTTTTTTCCTGGGAGGAACCATGCTTTTCCTGTGAGCGCATTTTGGGCAATTGTGCCAACAATTGCTGCTGACAAGGAGAGCTCTTTGGCTGTGGGGCCCTTGCCTCTGCCTCCTAGCATCTCTCTCGTAACTTTAGAGCAGAAGGGCAGCTGGTAAAACAGAAGGGTGCAGACGTGAAGCACGGAAAATGCTTATCAGCAGCAGGCAATTCACCAGCACAACTCTTGGCCACAAACTAGCACTGAAACCACGAGTTCAGGAGGATGCAGGAAGGTTATTACTGGCTCTTCCTGAGCAGAGTCTTGACACAGCTTCCCCTGAGGCTTCCCACTGATTCCAGTGGAGAAGCAGAAGGAAAGAAGGCCTTTCCAGAGACTTCTGCAACTCTGACATAGCCTTTGAGCTGAACAATGAACCGGGGGAAGGTTTAGACATTTCAGAGAAAGCTGGAGACCCTTGTATGACTGCCCAAGTCCTTGAACTGCACCACAGAAGGCCCTCAAAGAAAGCTACTTTCCTCAGCCCCCAAGAGCTAAACAACACAAAAAATACCTGCTGAGCTCGGTGTCTTCAGAGGTCCTTACCTGTGCGAGGAGTCCTGGCTGGATCTGCAGCGGCTGGGCCCCAGGAGCCTGAGTGACAATGGGAACGGCGTTCTCCATCCGAACTGAATACCCGGCATGCTTCGAAGGGGAGGCTTGTAATCCTGTTCCAGCAGCACAGAAGGCACAGCATTAGCCATCAACAGCATTGCTAGGAATGAGGGTCTGGTTTTCAGAGGTGCCTGAAGGCACTCACTGATGTCCACTTCAATTGCAGTGTTCAGTCACTCTGAAAAAAGTCGGATCTCGGAGCCCCAAATATTCCTCCCCAGCCCAAAGATGTCCACCAAATGTTCACAAACATGACATAAGGGTGCAGAAAAGACATTTTCAAAGACATGAAGAGATTAACTGAGTTCATATTTTTAGGGCACCGCGAATTCGTGAGAAACATCTCAATACAACGCGTACAGAGAGAAAAGGAAGAGAGGAGAGGGAATGGCTTCTCTTACCCCATGTTCTCTGCTTTGACAACAGAAAATGGTCCTTGCCAGCCAAGAAACATTGCTATGTGAGAATGCTCTCTTGTGACCTAAGTGGGATAGTGTGATGGGAATCCAGAAACGTGCACTCACTCAGCCTTGACGGGAATAGGTGATTTTCTCCTGTACCACTTCTCAGGACTCGTATTCAAAAGGCTCTGATCTGACCGTGCAATCTAGCACAGCCCAAACTCCAACGACCGCTGACTCAGCCACGCGTTAGCCTAACTGAGCTGGAGGAAACTTCCTTCTCCACCACCTTTGTGCGTGGCACAGCCTACGCTACCTCCTCTGCCTTGGAGCTTTCTCAAGACAGCAAGCAGACGATGATAGCTTACATATTCTAGCAATACATTTCTGAAGTCAAACCCCTGAGATGCATTTTAACTATGTAGAAGAGGTCTAGCTACACTTCCCTAGTTCAAAAGAGCTTTGATAATCCTGCAGAACATTTAACGAGTGCCTAGAGACTGCCACACAGACAGGCTTGTACAAATGAAGAGCAGAAGTTGCACCAGCTGAACGAAGGTCTACTTAGACCACTTCCTACAGATACCTGGCTAGTTTTTCCAAATTGCTACAGTATGTAAAGTCAAGACAAGGACAAGTGGCTAACTCTGACCATCACCCCCGTTGTTTGACAATCATATCCACCACTGGTATACACAGGCAGAGACGCTTGCAGCAGGGCTGGAGCTGAAGGACTTGTACTGCTAAATGGCCACGAGCATCTGTTCTGGGGGCAAACCCTCACCTCCAGCAGCACCACGCTCCATGCTGCATTAACCTCCCGACTCCCCTTTTTAACAAACGAATCACCGGGAAGTGATGAGCCTGTTATTTATGTACTGATTTATCATTGTCGTGGGGGAAAGTTTCCAAGTTTACCAAAGTGAGACAGAAGAGCCTCAAACCCTGTTCACGGCGAAGGACGACAAATATCACATATTGTCCCTCAGCTCCTTCTCAGTGTCGGCCCCATTGTTTCATAGAATGGTAAGGGTTGGAAGAGACCTTAAAGATCATCTGATTCCGACCCTCCTGCCATGAGCAGGGACATCTTCGTGATGCTGGAGGTGCCTGCAAGGCCCTCTGCTGTTGCAAACGTTTCCACCCGCAACTACCTCGCTGCTCTGATTTACTCGGCCAGCAATTTTTCTACCGTATGGTCTACACCAAGGAAGCCTGTTTCAAACGAGAGACAGACGAAACAGCAGTGGGAAGGGAGCAGCGACTGGCCAGGACCTGGCGAGGCTGTCACTCACCTTGGAAGCCTGGTGGGCAGACGATGAGAGCTTGCTGGAAGGGGTCGGGCCGGGCACAGATCTGCGCTGTTCCTGTCTGCAGGGGCATGCTCCGCTGGGCCACCGCAGCCATGGACGCCGCTGAAGGCTGGTAGAGTGCAGATTGGTAATTTAGTATGGAGACCTCGGGGTTGGCTAAGGAAATAGTGGCACTGGAGGAGGTGGGAGCCAGGTTGGTGGTCTAAAGGAATGACGGGAATTAAACAAAAACAAACAAAAAATGAGGGAGATGGGTATGCTGGAAGAAGCAAATCCAAAAACAAAAGAGTAAAATAGTGTAAGATAAAGTAAAAAAAAAAAAAAAAAAGAAACCAACCAAAAAAACCCAGCAAACCAAAACCAAACAAGGGGTAGAACAGGACACTGAGGAGCACAGAAGCAAGGGTAGTGATGAGGAAAGGAGCATGATCTGCCTGAGTAACCGCAGCTGTACCATGCTACGGGACCTCCAGCCACGCGGCGCTGCTGTGTACTGCTCGGAGACACAGCACGTTCTCCAGAGCAGAGCTGTAGCCCCGCTTATCACCCAGTTGGCTCTGATCTGCAGCATGGTGAAGATGGGTTCAGTAAATGTTACTGTTCCCCAATCACACAGTTCTCTCATCATGCACAGAGCTCTAGAAACAGCCCGCATTTCTTTGGCAAAAGCACCTCGGCACCTCCGTGCCCTGTGTGAAGCCTCATCCTGAGAAGGTAGACTCCTTCCAGCCTCTCCTCTACCTTCTCTCTAGGACAGCACATGCCCCTTGAATCATGTTTTGAATTCGAAGGAAACAGAGAGCATAACAAGAGGTCATAATAATACTTTCAAAGTCCAAACTTTGCTTGGCTTGATTTTAAAGCCTCTCAGAGGAGAAACTCCAGCAGGGGATGTTGCAAAGCCACAAACATCAGCCCAGTGTTCTGCAAAACACCTAGAAATCTGAGGGTGACTTCTTTCCTCTTTGGACTCAGTCTGTAACAGTTGCAGACAAACAACCTCTACACAGCTCTGCCACTGCTCTATAAACATATGTCCTTAGTGCTCGTGTCTAGGCAGCTAGGCTCTACCAGACCAGAGTCCACCTTTCTCCTCCATCAAAATAGACCAGCATCGCTGCTGGAGATGGGTCAGGCAACACCTTCTCATGGTGAAGGCACAAACACAGGACGGGGCTTTGAGCAAGGCTGCAGGAGGCAGCAGGCCAAGCCTTCTGCACTGCCCTGGTTGCCCCTGGGCCCGGGAAGGGTACCCACGCTGCACTGCCACGGCCACAACCACAGCCACGAGCGATGAGACGACGAAACACCTTCCTCCTCCTCCTCCCCTCTCTGTGAGGAGGCAGAGAAGCGAAATCTGTTTCCCCCATGCAACACACCGAGCGGCAACCATGACAGCTCCCACACTCCTCATCTCTGGAGCCGTAACTGGGAGGAGGCAATCCCCAGGGACTTTGCAGAGACACAGAGCACCAGGGAGCCGGGATGAGTGGCATGTTGAAGAGATCAGTGAAAGGTTTAGAGCTCGTTAAAACACCCTTCCTGGAAGTGTTTCTACTACTTCTACGAACACCAGCAACACTGGTTCTGCTCACAACACGTGCCCCTTATGAAAATTGGGAGACTACCATGATCTCCCCAGCCAACAACCGACCTTAACAGCAAGTGAGTTCGGAGGAAACGAAAGCAAGTCTGCCCTTCCTACTAGCAACAGCGGTACAAATGGTGTCTCTGCCCTGCAGCCGGGGCCTACGGGAGCACGCAGCACGCGCCTCTTTAGTCAGCATCTCAGAAACAGCCAAGAAAGGGAACCACTGTTCATAACTAATGCCCTGTCACACCAAGCCATGACCTATCTCTGCATCTGCTTAATGAATTGTTCCAAAAGACCTTCTGTGATCACATGCATCGAGAACAGAGTCATGAAGTCTGCTTTTCTGCGTGATGCAGGAACACCCTGTACGTCAACGCAGACTCCTTTAGCCCCCTGCTTTCCGAGCACCATTTCTGCAACACCACCTGCAATCTCCAGAGTGACTCTTGAGCAGCCTGCTCCCAAAAGGCTTTAAAGACAGTACCTATTTCTTGAGCTTCAGTCTCCTAGAGTGCCGTCCCTGGAGAGTTCCCTTTCTCCGTTGTAATACAGTACCACAGTAAACAACTTAGCCTGCTAGTCACATAAAATTTGTCAGCCCAGCACGCTGCAACAGTGGGGCACGTAAACTAATACAAGAGCCCAAAGCATGATTACCAAGCCAGAGCCCACCAATGTAGAGTGCAATGTGTTTGGAGTGGGGGTACGCGCACAGGGTCCCCACGCCAGCTATGGCATCTGGAGCTAAGAATAAACCTTACCCCTGAACATTTCTTTCCTGTTGATGGGTTACAGTGCTGTGTCTGTTACAGTAGGGTTTAAATTCTTTTTACTTCAATGCCAATTTGAAAGAGTGCTGTAAGATCACAAACACTTCTGCCTGACCCAGGGAGTGCAGTCCTGCTCACTGCATTAAGGCACTAATGAGCTTTTCCCCATAGCAACTTCCCAAGTAAGCAGGATTTATCACCCCCAACAACAACACGAAAAACGAGGGCAACATTTCACCATCGCACAAAATGTCACAAGATTACTGCTTGCCTGAAGAAAAGAGAATGAAGAAAAGCGCAGGAAGGAGAGTGAAAAAGTACCATCTTTTTGCAGGTATGTTAAATGGGATGCTACGTTGCTTTTCATCTTCTAGACCCTATTGACGTAAACGTTTCAAGCACTGGCTGGTTCTGACCGATGCCCTTACCTGGTTGTGGACTGTGTTCAGCTGGTTGTTAAAAGTCATGGTCAAGTTGGTCGATGTACTTGGGGCTACATGGGTGATGAATGGCGTCTTGCTCTGGTTCACTGTGTCATACATAGTCACCCGCCGCTTGCAAATCTCCATGTTCTGGAAGCAGGACTTGACACTGTGTAATGAGAGGGGGGACAAGGAAGACACAGGAAAATCAACCAACTGACCAGTACAGGTTAACAGTGCAATCACCGCGGCCCTGCATTAGGTCTCCATGGCAGGCTTGGCACTTCCTTGGCTTTTAAAGCCCTTGGCTATTTTATGCAGGTCTCTCTTAACCAGCGGGAGTCAGCTTAACCCTGTACTGAAGAGGGCCAAATGGGTGTCAAGATGAGAGCGGCTGCTCTGGGACTCCTGGGTGCCCCCATGGGTCTCAGCACTGCAACGTAAGTCACAAAAAGCTAACAAATTGGCTGCTCTTTAGGTGGCAGGGCAGGAAACACGAAGTGGCTATTTTAAAAGACCAAAAGAGACTGAAAGCAAGCAACAAAGATTTTTTGCGCAGCACTGCAACGTAAGTCACAAAAAGCTAACAAATTGGCTGCTCTTTAGGTGGCAGGGCAGGAAACACGAAGTGGCTATTTTAAAAGACCAAAAGAGACTGAGAGCAAGGAACCAAGATACTGTTTGTTTTTTTTTTTTTTTTTTTTTTTTTTATGATTCAGCCTGAGAAGAAAAGCCAACTCGTGCTTTCTGCCTCAGTGTAAGCCTAAAGGTAACTTTAGAGTGTTTTGTAAGGAAGAATTTTACTGTTCTCGGTCACTAAGACCCCTGAAAAAAAATCTTACTTGTGACTTTTAAAAAGTAGTTCACTGAAACATTGCCCCTGTCTGGCTAAACACTTCCACAGATGCTTATCTTAAAGCACATGAGCTGTCCTCCCGCACTCAGTGGGACGATTCATATGGCAAAAGGTCATGCCAAATCGGATTCATCAATGTCCTGAGGGAATCAGGTTCTGAGGTTATCTCAGACGGAGAATTGGATCTCTGGGGGGAAAGATTACAGCTTCTTCCTCTACCCAGACTTTCCTTTAACTGTTATTGATATATCAAGGAAAATTTTGAGAAGAATCATATTTTGTATCCCCAGTGAAGGAGATGAAATACTCTCTGCATTGCTAGAGCACCCAAGGTGTCTGGTACACGAAACTGCCAGTATTTCATTTTTATAATTGGGATACCAAAGCATACAGAGGTTTAAGCGATAACAACATATCTGTCTTGTGTAAAACTGTATTTCTAATAAAATCTCATTTTTCCAAGGTCTAAAAACCAATACAGGTTTTCCACAATTCTTCCATAACAATTATTTTTACAAATGCGACCTCAGAGTCTGAAACACAACCCAGAAAAGTATAAAGGCATTTATTGCCATTATCCCAACCCACACAACAGAAAATCCAAACAGTGAAAATCAGCTGTAGCTGCAAAAAAATCAGCTGTATGCATAATTTCCTTTGTAACGACCCAAGCTGTTAAAGGTAGGGGAGGTAAACACATCCTCACACAGTTTTTAAGAAACAAAATGTCCCTTCAAAAGGAACAAGCTCATATGATCCTTAGAGTTGGTCAGGAAGAAGGCCTAGATCTTTTTATCCCTGTCTTACTCACATGGTCATCTTCCTTCTCCTACAGGTAATGTCTTGATAACTGGATCTGTGCCATAAACACCTGCAGACAAGACAGGCTCAGGACACTGTGCATAGCTGCGCGTTATGTGCATTCACTTAAAGAACTATGAAATACCTGTAAGTCGCAGAATATTCAGAAAAACCAAACACTTATCAAATAAATATAGAAGACTATTGGATTGCGTTTTTCCAGCCAAGTATGAATACAATTCTCCCTCCATAAAGCAGAAAGCATTGGAAAGAGTACCTGAGTCTGTACATGGTAAAGTCTGTGTAACCAAATGGTTTTACATAACAACGTATAATCTCTACTGATGTAATACTGTGTTTTCTGTCTTTACTTTAAAAAAAAAAGGTAAAAAGAAGGCAGGGACCGAGCAAAACAGACAGAGAGACTGAGGAGTAGCCCGCTCTTTAAGAGCCAGGCAGTTAAATACGTGAAATGGGGAGCTCAACTCTCTTTTCTGCTTGCCTGGAAGCAAGCGGAACAGCCCCTCCCGGGCTCCTCAGACTCGCAGCCTCTCTGAAGCTGCCACAGCAGAGACTCCTTCCAGGAGCTACACCTTCCTTACAGTCTCACTTTCTCTGCTGCCTGATTTACTTTCAAGAGAGATTACAACTCCCTGCATCTCTCAAGGCTTTGAAGTTTCTGTACGCAAAACCACAGGCAATCACAGACAGAATTTCCATCAGCGTGCCCCGCTGGTTACAGCTTACTGCTCTCTCTACCCATCACCGCTTCCAAGGCGGAGGGGCTGCGCGGGGTTACGCGGCCGGCTGGCACCGCATTTACCATTCGGAGACCTGACGCTCCATTTTTCATTCAGGTAAAAATTCTCACTGCTCTTGGCCCCAGTGATATTTTCAACTCCTCGGGGGCTTTGCCTGAGCAGCCACAAGTGAGCACTTAAAAAATTAAGATGCTATTATGGTCTGCTGTGTTAGCGGAAAGATTTCTGATGGCAACGTGTTATGCCACAAATCCCTCCTATCTTATACAATCAGTTGTAGCACAGTAAGGAGGACCGTTGCAAATTAAAAGACTTGTACATGATGCTAACACTGTTAGAAAATACCATCATTTTTTAAGTTTCATATAAAACCATTCTAAATCACTTTCTCTCTGTTTAGCACAACCACCTCCCGTCTCGTTTTCACCACACTTCTCGCTTACTACCTACTTAGAGATAACAATGCTCAAAGATGTCTGCGCAGGGTCAGTCTGGGTCCACACAGATTGTGCACCCACTACCTTATGGTAAGCAGCTGCTTTTATCTTGTGACACATGTGACAAAAAGGCAGCTACAGCTCCTTCACAGTGGGAAAACTACCTTAAATGAACTGGAAATACCGCAGGTGAGAGTACACATACGGGCAGGAGAGGTGACCCACAGCAACCTGTTGCTCTGCAGCACCCACGCAAACATACTCTTCGTCTTTTCAAGCAGTCCCCTTTATTTTCCATCTGAGCTCCTCACAGCCTTTAAACACCAGGCACATGACACCCAAAGTACAGCGCTGTGCCAGTAACTCTGTTCTTCCGACGAGGTGAAGGGACAGCCTGCGAAAGCACCTGGAACTGTCAAGCGTTGCAGGGCAGGATGCTCTAAGCTGGGTGTCCCAAGGGCTTTGGAAGACCCCCACGACGTGTCAGGGCTCTGAGTGAACTCCCCAGGGGACAAGAGCCACGTGCTGCACGCAGGTTCCCTGCCTTCCAGGCTGCTGCGCTCCGTGACGCAGCCTTAGGAGAAGGGGGAGTCAAGCCTGAGGGCATGAGACTTCTCCACATCTCCATCGGGCAGTGGAGCCCACCTCCATTCCGCAGATGTGTCGGCCGAGCTCAGAGCGTGGTGTTTAAGGTTACGCAGGCGGGCAACAACAGAGCCGAAACCTGAGCTCCGTGTCCCGTTGCCTGTGCCTGTAAGCTTGCCTGCAGCAGAAAAAGCTCTTCCCTGAAGAAGCAAACAGCCCCAAATGGACCCCTGCAAAATGGGAAGGTTCTGCGAGGAAGGGTCGGCTCCCCACTGCAGATCAGGTTGATTACTGCAGTAACAATCAGGACTATATTACTTTGAGATATACTGATACTTTCAGCACTAATTGCGTAATTTCTTCTGCATTTTAATGCAAACATCTGTAATTATTGAATATTTACATAATGAATGTAGCACACTGCAGCATTTTAAATGCCAAGCACCTACGACACAAACCTTGCAACCTTATGAGTTGGCAATCCTCTTTTTTTTTTTAACCAGAAAAAAGATTAAAACTTAAGACTTCAGCATCTGAACAATGCCCTTCAGATGCATTTGGTCTCCACCACAACCAGCTCTCCTCTTCACCCCTCAATTCAAAACCCAAGGGGAACGAAAGCCACGTACTGTGTGCTGTGAGGGAAATCAAGCAAGTGTGTCATGGTGACAAAAGGGTGGTTCAGAGTCTCAATGGGTGTTATTCTCTTATCTGCATCTATCGTCAACATCTTCTTTAGCAGATCGATAAACTCCCGCCGGTCCGCCTTTTCCACCAACATATTGCCCGCTGGAGCACACACCCCGCGAGCCTCCCCGTCCAAAGGGGTGCTTGTCGCAGTCAGACGGCAGGGGCTCCGTGGTGGCCAGGTCATCTGGCTTGCGCACGTCAGATCTCCAGACAGACTGGGAAGCGTTCAGCTCGCTTGGGTCAACGGCTAATCAAACACTTAGTCACCCTCCGCTGAAGATGAACAGCTTCCACATGGTAGCAGGCAAGCTCTGATAATCAGTGTATTTATCACATAAAGGACTGTGTTATCAGACATTTAACAATGTGTCCTCTGAGCAAAAAAGCCATATAAAATAAATAAAAATTGTCAGTAGGTTTATGGGAAACATCCCATTCATGTATCAGGGGCCAGGAAAAAAAAAACACCCTTATGTTCTTTCATCTCTTTACACAGTCCTCTGTCTCGGCATCTTTGCTTGCGAATGCTACGCTGTCTAGACTTCGCTAGCACAAACTGCGTTTTTGTGCTGGTGTTGTGCCAGTTCTGCACGCTGGTGTGTGCGCTCGCGCAAACTCCAGGCGCAGGAGTGGTTACACAGGAGGGAACTTTCACACCCGCACGGACTCGACACTGAATTAGTACTCCCCGTTCCCCCAGGCAGCCACATTTTACAGGGAGTACGCTCCTCTGCGGCCACGGGGATTATTTCCAGTGTCACCGTTTTACAAACAGAAATATTAAAGCGGAGAGAAGTGACTTGCCAGTGGCTGCACAGAGGAGCACTGGAGAGGCAAGCGAAAACACAGGATTTTGACAGCCAGAGAGGTGACTTAGCCGTTTTCCAGGAGTGCTTTACCACAGCACACTGAGCCCACGCGCCCCTGTGTGCAGTTCTCCCTACAAAGCAGCACACAAAGAGCTGATTTGGTAGGCGTAATCCCGGTGCTCCTCGGGAGCCCGCACAAGAACCGCGTACACAGAACTCACGCAGTCGCCCTCTGTCCGCACTGCCCAAAAGCACACGAAGCAGCCTTGCTCGTTTTACTCACCAGAGCTCTTACCTGTGCCATATCATCCAAACAGTTGAAAATATACTTTCTTGCTTCCTTCGACTTAATCCCCGTCTCTGCCTCATGATCATCCGGTGTCTGCTCGAAACAGGAGACAGGCATTGACCAGAACTGCCCTGCGATCAGCCGCGGGTTACGCGCCACTTCCAGCTTCTGCCTCATCCCACCCTCGTCAGAGACCACTGTCCCTCTCTTCCCTGACCAGATAACGTTTACACTATCTCCACTATGGCTATATGACTGCTTTTGTGTCACATGGTGATTTATCTCCTCTTTTTCACTTCAGAGGATCCTCCCAGCTACGGTGGGAGTCCCAAACGTCTCTTACAACCGCCCCAGCGTGAGGCTGTGTCCCACCCTTACAGCCAGAAGCCAACTGGCCTCTCCTTGGGGACTGAGCGCAGCCAAACACGCTGGTACGGGAGACCCAGGGCTCACTTGCATTACTAGCAGTTTTAATTGTCAGAATTAAAATGCTTTCTCCCCCCCTCAGTGCATTAGATGTCAGTGTCAAGTCTGCCCAGGGCACGTTTCATTTAAAAATTCATTGACTGCTTAGAGGGAGATTTCCAGCTCAGTTCTGGACTCAAATTTCCCACAAAGCAGTGCCAAGCAAGTGGACTAAGGGCTGCAGACTTTGGGGATGGCAGTTTTCCCTCGGGCTATACCCACCCCAACGTCTGTGCTGCACCGCAAAAAGCAGAGACCTAGGCTCTGCGGTGACCTGAATGTCTCCTCACTTCCAACCAACAACTGCCAGGCAAAAGAAACAAGGGAACATCCTCCTACCTTCAGTCTCCACAAAGGATACGGCGAGTCTGTATCCCTGTTGAAAAACCTCGTAGTCTTTGTCCCTGCACTTAACAAATACTCTGCTGGTAAGCCCTGCGTCTGTGAAATATAGCGAATCTGTAAGAGAAGGATGAGAGGTCACTGCGCAGCCTGTGAAGATCTCTGGAGGTCTTCCCTGAAGGAGGGCAGGAGGCATTTAAAACAACAGAACAAAGAAAGAGAAAATGTAGCATGTAGTGAGACTTCACAAAAAACAACCCCAGCGCAAGGAAGCCTGAAGAAGAGAAGGCTGAGAGGGGACCTTAAAAATGTCTACAAATATCTCAAGGGTGGGTGTCAGGAGGATGGGGCCACTCTTTTCAGTGGTGCCCAGTGACAGGACAAGGGGCAATGGGCACAAACTGAAGCAGAGGAAGTTCCATCTGAACAGGAGGAAGAACTTCTTCTCTCTGAGGGTGACAGAGCTCTGGAACAGGCTGCCCAGGGAGGTTGTGGAGTCTCCTTCTCTGGAGATATTCAAGACCCGCCTGGACAAGGTCCTGTGCAGCCTGCTCTAGGTGACCCTGCTTCGGCAGGGGGGTTGGACTGGATGACCCACAGAGGTCCCTTCCAACCCCAAACATTCTGTGAATGAGAGGGAAGAGAACTCTCGTCCGGCATCCCTCCATCTATCAGGTACGCCACTGGAAACTCATCACCCTTACAGAACGCTTATACGAAGCCTGTGGATGAAGGCAGTGAAGTCCCTAGGTTTTAGAGGTCAAAGAGGAAGACCCACACAGAAGTTTCAACGGGGTGTTTCACTGCTTTGCACCTTTTTATGTCACGCTCTCCTCTCCAGGAGGTAATTTCAGCAATTTGATATTTGCACTCTAAATTTTGCTGATTTTTCCCCCAGCTGAGCGCACAGCCTTTCCTCGGAGCAGTTTGAAGTTCAAAACGGAGGACTACGAAGTGACTGTCTTTGAACTTAGATGAAACGCACGCTCAAACGAACTGACACCCTCGTGGTATGTAAAGTACTTCATCTATATTGCCTACATGACTTCATTTGTTTTTTAGGTTACTTCCACACGTATGACCTCGCCGGCACCCATACGGCTAAAAGATGCTACACGTGCGTTTCGAGGATCTCAGACTTTTATTTGTTTATTCAAAGGAAAAAGAGTCTGTGATCATACCGTTAGAGACCGATCTCACACACAACCTTAACAACTCCTGACTCCTGGGTGTTTCACTCTGCAAAATGGCTGCAAACTCTGCAAGACTACTAAAAGTAGTCACCTACTCTAGAAATTTCTGGGGAAGAATGGAAAGCATTTTTGAGAGAAGAGTCAAAGAGAGGTAAAAAACATTTAAACAAAAAGGCATCAAAAGCAGCCGTGGTTTCAAAGACTTCCGAGCACTCAGGACCCGGTTCACCGAGCGTGGCTCACTCGGTTCTGCAGCTCCTTAGGTCCATTGGAGCTCGTGCACCCGAGAAGCACCAGGATGCTGCCCGCAGCCCAGCGCCCGCGCTGTGGGCCGACTCGGGCCGCAGCGAGGGGCCAGGATCAGTCCCTGCCCCCGGCCCAGCTCCCCAGGAGCCCTCACCGCACGTCACCAGAGGAAGCCTGGTGCTGGGCAGTTAAGCTGGGCAGGGAGGTACGTGATTTCTTTTTCAGCTGCGTGTTTTATGGCTTTTGGGGTGCAGCAGGGAGGACAAAGAAATCTACTCTTTGTAGTTGGTATGTGAGTTTCAAATGCTTTTACGTTTTTCAGCTACATCTTATTTCCTTTGGCGTCACTAATGGCCCTGCTCTTCACTGGGGGTTATTTCCCCTGCCAAATTTCACCTTTAAAGCTCTGACCAAAAAAATTCTAGTTACAAAAGAAGAGTCAAGGAAACATTTTCATCTATGAAAAACTTGTTTACTACCCTGCTCTTTTTTTCTTTGTTTTTTTCCACCCTAAAAGAAAAAAGACCCTTTTCAGGCCACATTTGCAGACAGATAAGACCACCCTGAAGACGACTATGGGGATGGAAAGTGTTCTGCAGCTCTAGCAGCCGCTGCACTATCAACTTTAGGACTACAAAAGGAGTGTAAAAGCCTATAGGGAGACAAGTACGACAGCTTGTATTAACTGGAAACCTACACCACTGTGAATGTTCCCCTTCTTGTCACTGCTTTTAATACGCACCCTCATAAAAGGGGTTATGAAACGCAGCAGAGTTTGTGCTGTTTATTCTAACAAATAAACCTTTATTCAACGCTTGCTGTTACAGCAGAGAAAGGGTGCTTGCTCTGCTCAGTCAGGAGAGACATGTACAGAGCTCTCCAGTCAACGGCAGCGTTGACAGAGATTTCACTTAGGCAGTCAGGGCTTAAAAGCCAGTGTACCAAACAGCACGCTGGTTACCTGGAATAAATACCCCAGCTGGGTAACGAAAAAGTTGACTCGGGAGGGGTGAAAACCACAAATCCCCTACTAGGAAAAGAGAAAAAGTTGGCATCTGTTCACTCTGACAAAAGAAGGGAAAAAAGCCTCCAACCCATGAACATTCGTGCTCTTACCAGCATCCAGGGCAACGTCGGCACCCACCTGATCGTACTCCGAAGCTCCTGGGTACAACGGCCAGCCCAAGAACAGCTCCGCAATGACACATCCCAACGACCACATATCGATTGCTTCACAAAACGGTAAACCAAGGATGATTTCAGGGGCTCTGCAAAGGAAGAGGGCAGAAAACATCAGCAAGGGGAGCCGATCCCCTGAGCTGGTGTAGCGAGGCCGTGCAGGGCGCGACGCTCACAAAGCTGCCTGCTGCCAACAAGCGCCACTGCTCCCACGGGGCCGAGGCCACCGGCAAAGTGTCTGCTCACCAAGCATGAGTCGGTGAGCATTCACCCCTGCAGAAGAGTCCTCCGGCAGCATTTAGCCAAGAGACAGCCCTACGTTGCGCAGCAGTTCGCAAAGGAGAGAACTACCATTATTTTCATTCGGCAGGTGGGAAAATCCGGCACAAAACCAATGCTGTGCGCCCACGGCCACCACATTAAGGCCTCTACTTGAGGCTTGAGTCTCCAGCTCGCTGTCCTGCTCCCTGCGGTGAAGCACCCTCCATTCAGGCAGCTTGTTGGGCTTCAAACAGCCAGACACTAAATAACCATTACAGGACTGGTATAAAAGGGTTACTGACTTTTTAAACAAATGGATGCCACCATAAAACAGAGAAATAACATAATTAGATCTATTAGACCTAAGCCTTTTCCCCAGGAGGAAGCAGCCAAGAAGCCTTCACTTCCCAGTCTGTCCCAGGCGCCTGATTAGATTTCCTCTCCCCTTCCAGCCCCAACGCGGCAGCACCCCCGCTATGCCTTTACTGCTGGCTTCGGGAGATGCCCACAGAGGCACCGCTGCTCAGTGAGTTTTGGTGTTAGCCCTGCTGAGGAAGGAGAAGACAAGGTAAAAGCTTTGCTTCGGCTCTCCAGGAGGATCCCTGGCCGGGACGCAGAGGAGATGCCCAAACAAGCAAGCCCAGCCTCAGCTCAGACTTCCACAGGACCTTCAGGTGAGGGTCACGTCACCTTCCAGCCAGGCAGAAGCTGGTGTCAAGCCTCAGCCAGGTACCGTGCAGTCAACGGAGAGACACCCCCCTCCCCGCCCCCAAGGGGGATTTGTCCACCTGTCTTGGGATGGTTTGAGTCTTTCTTCACTGAGGCTACACAGGTTCGATAAACTCCAGCGGCCAAGGTTAGACAAGATGAATCCTCCCGTTAGCACCCCACACACTTTGTGTTTCAAAAGCAACTTCTGCGTGGAAGAATCAAAAGTATCTTACAAATACTGCAAACCCTATGCAGAACCCACCTCGGCACACCAACACCTTCCTTACTTTCCCCACCTCAGCCCAGACTTCCACTTGCAGCTAAGTGCCATAGCTCCTGTTTTACACAGAGATCACCTAAAGGATCTCTCCTGCTCTTCTTACAGATCTTGCAATACTTCTAAAGCCCCAGCTTCTGGAGTCAGGTGACGTAGAACAGAAAGAAAAACTTATTTTCCCATACTCCTCTAATTATACATACATATAAAAAGGCAGAAGACAGATGAAAAAGAAACACACATCGCTTTCAAGCTTTCATCATTTTAAAAACAGCCTTGAGATTGCTTGGGCCCTGATGCATATTTTGGGAATGCCTGGGGCTGACTATTGAGCAAATCAAGTGCCACCATCCAGAGCTGGAAATAGGACCCATGGTTCCCAGTTTCCTATCTGTCAGCAGGACAAGATCTGACACGAGTGAGGTCATTCTAAGGATTACCAATTGCAGTGGAAAATATTATGTTTTAGTCACGTCATTACATAGTCATGTGAAGACAAGTCCTCAGCCAAGAAACTAAGCAAAATGGGTAATCTTTTCCAAAGAAACAAGCAAAGGCCCTGCAGCAAGAACCCATGCCCCATTTTCAGTCCACAAACTTCCCCAATTTTGGGTTGACTGGTACTGATAAAAGCCTGAAACTATCTGTTCTCAAACCAGCAACGCAGAACATAAAAATTTTGGGAAATTCTTGGATTTTAAGCTTCGGATGCACCATTCCCACAGAAAACATGCCAGAAACTTAAAGAGTGGCTACCTTTAGCCCTTCTAGCTTCATCTGCGCTTGTTGTTCTCATACCCCACTGTTCTTTAGCCCACCATGACAAACTTCTTGCTCTAGCATCAACCCCTCCTTAGGAACAGGGGGTTAATTTTCCTCCTTTCCTCCCCATTTCGTCACCCCTGCACACTACTCGACACCCAGACAAAATGTAGAGAGAAAAAAGACAGCTATGGTGACCTGAATCTCATTACTATGTAAATCCTGCATTCAAAGCCATCTGCCTCTCCCTGTCTGCCTTCCACATCGTGAACGCAACGTCCCTGGTCACTAATGAGAGCTCAGCCACGCATCGCCTGAACTTCAAATCCCTCCCACTAACTCAAGTGGAGGGAGCGGAGGGGTGGACTGTCGGTGGGATGTTCCCAAAGCGATTTTGTGTAGAAAACTCCCTGTTTATAAAAATCTCTTGCGCTGCTGTCATATGCAGCACACGTCTCCTCCCGTCTCTCCCCACACTTCTGCTGCCAACACCTCCAGACCCCTGCAAGGAGGAATGACCCAGAATTCCAGGTTCCAAAACTTCTAAATTTTTTTTTCCTTGTGAGTCTTCAGCTGTCCATGGGTTTTCCTTAAAGCTCCAGCTTCTGGAGTGCAGCAACTGGGAGAGAATTTCTCTTCACACACAAAAGAAGTTTTGCACCTCTGCTGCTGGGAAGAAAAGCACAAAACCAGTGTCCATACCACTTAAACACATACAAGGCAACGAAACGGAATGCCATTCATTATATTAAACCAGACCTATCGTTGTAGGGAGGGAAGGTGGTGAGATAGTTTTAGTTTATTCTACTTTTTTGAAAGCTGGTATTCGCATTACTCAACCTCAAACATTAGTTATAATCTTTGCCCATTCAGCCCCGAACAGATGATGATTTTGGAACAGCAATGAGAACCCCTGCAAGAGGGGGGCCAGATCGAAGTGATATGGTGCCCTACGTACACCACAGCCAGCGTTCGCTGCGGCTTTCTCCCAGCCTTGCCGTCGTGAGGGCAATTTTTGCATAGAGAGGGAGTGGACCCAAGACAAAAAGATCTTGCTAACTTAATTAAGCAGTCATTAAAACACCACAAGAACGACAGGTATCAGACACCACACAGGTTTCCAGATTTTCAGCTAGCAGACACCTCCCGTTTCCCATCTGAGAACGAGCTGGGGTCACCTGGGGAGGAGCAGCAGTCTCTGCCTGCTGGCACTCGGCTAAAGGCCAACGCCAAGCGTTTTGGTGGAGGATGCTATAAGTTCTGCTCGAAAACAACTCATCCACTGACAAAACGCCTTCCAAACCTCCATCGGGTGGCAATTGTTCTGTATGCTCAGTTACGGATGCACAGATCCTTCTGCACATAGAGCTAGATCTGACACGTGGAACTCCTCTCTTTCTCAACACAAGCATGTCAATTTTTTAAGACAATGTGAGATCTTGACTTCAATCACATGTTGTGGCACGGAGTTCCACAAGCAACCTTCCGCTATCAGTAGCATCTTAACTCAGTTGTCTAAAGCCTGATTTTCCTTCATCAGGTTTAAATTTGTCACCTCTCACTTCATATTCACATGGATTGGCCTACAGGTGAAGGTGCTTGAATCACCTTTCTTTTAGCACATGCTATATTTATTTCTCTGCCCTGTTTTCCCTCTTTTGCAGCAGCTTCTGGTGTCTCAGTGTTCCCCCCCATGGATGTTTCACTCCACTTCCACCACCTGGCCCTAAAACCTCTCTTCCTGACAGAACTGCTTGGAGACAGGCAGAACAGACCTAGGAACAGTTAAACACGAGGATATTCCCCAGACTGATTTTACACTATTTGCAGAATGCTTTCGCGTTCCGGTCTTCCCTGAGCCTAATATTTTGTTTGCTTTCGGAGTGACACGAGGCATTTCAGCAGATGTTTTATCTAGGAGATCCTCTGAGACACACAGTTCTTTCTCCAGAGGAGCTGCAGTTCATTTAGGACATAGAAACATGTAGAAATAGTTCATTTTTCCTCCTCCAATGTTTACTGCCTTTCTGTACTGTACTGATCTGGTATAATGTTGCCTGTAATCTAGATCAAGTCCCTTAAATGTTCCTCGCTCTTTTCTGCAGCCTAACCTAAGCAAGTCTGTGGTATCTGCACACTTAGGCACTTCACTGCTGGTCTGCCACTTTTTACAGATAATTAATACATTAAATAACTCTGGTCCTAAAATATGCACGCAGTCCACTCCACAACTGACCCTTTTATTCCTAAAAGCACTCAGATTTAGCTCAGCTGCTCTAAGAATGGTGTAATTCTCTTTTCCAAAGGGAAATCTGACGTGGGATTGCTCCATTCTGCAGCTGGTAACACCATGTAACAGGGGAAAATGCCCTATTAAAGCGGCACATCAAAGTATTGCAATCATAAATCAGAAGGACGATTCGCACAGCGGCAGGTCCTCCTGGAACAGCCCCGAGGTCTTCAGCAGATCTCTCCACGGCTGCACAGAGAAGTGTTCTCTGTACTGGTAATACTGCTTGTTTTAACACAGGCTCACCAGACCTTTCGACTGTGGTGGGGATCTTGTCTCAAGCCAGGCAAAGGCAGCCTGCCGCCAGGTACCCCGGGATGTGCAGGGACGTCCCCATTTACCGTGCTCTGCCAGGTTTTTGGCTTTGCATCCGCAGCACCCTCGGCACACTAATTCCAGCCTCCAGTACGAGACACCGGAGGGAAAACAGAAAACTTTGCCCTCCCATTCCTCCTCTCCTGCAAGCTGCCTTCAGTGTCTCCCAACAAAAGGCTCTCCCCTTCTGTTTGTGCAGGCACAACCTGCTCTACAGCTCACACAAATCTCACCAGCACACACCAAAGATCTGGAAACCACTCACCATCAGCCTGGGAGAGACTGAAGAGCCCCACCAAGAGCCTGTATCTCCAGGAGAGAAGCAGCCAGCCCATCCCCACATCTCCTACCCCTTTCCCAGACCAAATTACTCCCCTGGCCAGCAAAGGGTGACCTGCTCCTCAGCTCAGCGCTGGGTCCAGCAAGTCCCCCATCACCTTGGAGCCCAGCTTGAACGTGCCCGTGTATACCAG